AAATCCTTGATGGCCAGTGCGTGCTGTTCACTTTGAATAGCAGACGACAAGTAGCTTTGCATGCAATACTTTTAAAATTGCGGTCACAGCATGAATCAGAGATGCACAAGTCGCTACATTCGATTTGCAGGTCGCCTACTGCTTGTGATTGCAATTCATTGGTGCAAAAAAATATGCTTTATTTTATTTGTCTCCCCCACACACCAGCTACTGAGTGAATGTTTTTTCATGAATGAATGTCAGGTCATGTGACTTGATTAGCAAAAACTGTTGATGTTACTGTTCCTGGTTAAGATTTTTAGATACATATTAAGGCTCCGACGAATACATCTAATAAAGCATGATTTCCGTTTATCTGATTTTAATGTTTGTTTATCAAAATTCTTCGTTAGTTCATGGATACGGTCTTGCAGTAGATTTGATTCTGTATAATGAGAAAATAAAAAATACTAATGATACTACGACAAAATTCTCTCAGTTATGTGCCATGCCTGATATATGCTTAGGTTATGATGTATCTTTAGACATATGAATGACGAGGCAGATGTTTTCCGACAGTAGGTTGCGGGAATAAATCTTTCTGTGGTAGACCAGTTGCCATCCAAGGCTATAGAAGCCGGTTTGTCCTGCTATTTACCCACAGCTGGTGGGTGAAGAAGAGGATTCATATCTTTCCCAATGGTATTAGCACGTAAATGGTTCGACTGGATTTTGAACTCGGCTCTCCGATTCCTCACTCCTAGCCTTTATCCATTATTCCACCATCCGTCCTACGATGAAATCTAAGGATAATAAATTTAATATTAATAATACTTTAGGAATTATTAGATTTACAAAAAAAATGGATGAAAAGGAGGGATAAAAAAAGAAATATTAAAAGAGAAATATTTGTGAAACTGGTAAATTGATAGAAAAAAAAAGAAAATAAAGATTAAGAAAAAAAAGAAAACAGAAGCATTAAACAAAGAGCGAAAGACGAGGAGGAAACCGATGGAAAACTACGAGAATAAGATTAAAACCGAATGAAGAAATCTAAAATGAAAAAAAAAAAAACAAAACAAAAAAAATAACAGGAAAGTGGATTCCCTACTATCTACTGTCTTCCAAAATTTAAATCCATCATTGATCGCCATATTCTCTTTACCTAAATCATTTCTTTATTGTCCTTTTCTCACTGCCACCTTCTAAAGTGTTTTCATTCTCTTTTTCTACCTGTAACACCTTTCCTCCTAATGTAATTTCTGATTGAAAAATAATGAAAAATATGTAACAATAGATTGAAAGAAATCTCTATATATGAATTTTTAACCTGTGTATGTCTGTTTGTCATAGATCTCCTCCTAGGTTTTTGGCGATAGACCCCCATAACGAGATATATATATATATATATATATATATATATATATATATATATATATATATATATATATATATATATATATATATATATATATATATTCTAAACTACATTTCCACGGATACTTGGATAAGTAAAGTTCAGTTTGATCAAAGTGGGTTCCAGCGGGGAACAGACCCCACTTAATATTTTTTTATTTGATATCAGTTAAATAAAAGTTTAATCAAGAGAATTAACCCTAGGGTACCTGGATAAGTATATTTACCCGGAGGCACAACCCCACAACTGATTTTTTACCTTAGGTTTTAATTAAATTTAAATTTGAACAATGGAATGACTTTTTTCCAAAATGTAGAAGGAGAAATCCAGAATGTGGAAGTCACATCGGAAGATCATTGTGAATTGTATCATTTTTCTCCGCAAATTATTACAATGTTCTAAAATCAACAATCATTTTATTATAAAACATGTAACACGCAGCAACGCGCGGGTAACTCGGCTAATTACTAACGAAAAGACAATGTAGTATTATTTTATACCCACTCAGCTAGTAATTAGCTAAATAAGTATAAACTAATGTTGGAATATTAACAATTTCCACTATAAGAAATAAATAAAAGGCAACAATGTAACAAATAATTGTTTCTCTTGGTACTGCCTCATGAAGATTAAATAGTCCTCATTAATACCATAAGATATTTTACAAGTAAGAAAGTACTACAAACGTAGGTGTTAATTTATGTGCTGAAACATTCAGTGGTGAAATATATAATGCAAAGCTTAGCAAATATTGCATATGCTGAAATCTAAGTTGTTAGTGATTCCGAAGTCGGATGGGTTTTATCAATTCAAATTTATATTATATATATATATATATATATATATATATATATATATATATATATATATATATATATAGAGAGAGAGAGAGAGAGAGAGATAGAGATAGATAGATAGATAGATAGATAGATAGATAGATAGATAACTAGACTCGTTTCGAAAAACACTCGAATTTTTGATTTGCTAATCAAATCAATCTCGAGTGAAAAAAGGTTTTAAAAAAGAAAGAGCTACAAACATGAAATTCTGCCGACAAAAAAAAAATCACAGATGCAGGTCTGAAGCCCAAAAGAAAAAAACCCGATACGAGTAACAACTAACTAACAAAAAAGAGCTCAAACTTTCCCTGACGATCCGTTTAGGTGAAACCTTAGTAGGTTTGTCTGGCTCACTAGGTGTATATATATATATATATATATATATATATATATATATATATTCTTTAGAAGGCCCTAATTTAAATGGAAAAGGCATAAACGCATCTTCTTCCAAGTAGGAGTTTAATACCTATTTTCGCTTGAGTGACAGTTTGGTTGAGCGAAAATTATAGAAAAAAAAGTAATGAAACGGACGTCATGTGTTAACATATCTTTTGTTAATTTTAGATAAATTGCTTTGGAAAATACATGAATCAATCTTCACTCAGCTACAAGTTAATGGCAATACAATCTCTCTGATTTTTTGGTGAATGTTAGCGTAGGAAAGGATTAAGTCTTAATTCAGAAATCCGTAAATGCTATTTTCGAACTTTAAGTTGAAGGTCAACATTCATTTAGCAGGATTTAGTTTCAAGCGGGAATAAAGAGAATTGAGAATTACCACACAATCCTGTCCTCATCTTACTTAGCAATGTTTCAGCTGCTGTATATTTCATTCCCCAATAATCCTTAATACTTACAAAGCAAATGTTCATGAGCAAATATAATTTTTGCCAACGCGGAGATTCCGAATAAAAAATGCGTGTAAAAATATATATCAAATAGAAAACATTTCATTTTCTACTTATTTACATATTCATATTCTTTTTTTAATTTATGTCTGATTCAAAGTCATAAATGGGCGTACCCTATGGTAATTTTCTAAGCTTAGCTTAGATGCGCCACAAAGCTGAAAGTATGGCCATGCCTTATTAGGATGAAACATTGAACTAACCCCATAACTTCCGGGAGGATAGCCATTTTTAAACATTGGTATTTATAAAACTGTAATGCTCTGGTACATGTTCAATTTTTGTTTTTTAGCAAAAATGCAGAAGGAAGATTATTCATGATAAATTGTCAGGATCCTGCTTTGAAAATCAGCATTTGTAGACCCAGACTGTAACTGTGCTAGAACTGAGATCCTTCGTACTATAATGAAATACGCAACTATCCAACACATTACTCATTCTTTGTGATGTTGGAATACTCTTTCGGCATCACCCAGACAATACATTGAATCAAAAAAATCAAAATCTATCGTTGAGTATTTTTTTCTTGTTTTCTCCTGATTATGATCTTTTCTTTCGTGCCATATTTTTTGCATTTTCTTGGGTCAAGTTGTATTGTGTACCGAATATCAGAAGTAAATTTTTAGAAGATTACCTAGTGCTAAATGCGATGTGAATCGTTATATTTTGTCTTCTTAATTCTTGGTCTTATATTATTCTCTATGCAGATCAATGCTATTAATATTCTCATATACTTTTACACACAATAACCTAGAATTTTAGTGACTTTATTGCCTTACTTTGGATAAAAAGATTAATAAAGAATGTTATTCTTAAGGCGTAAGAATTTGATTGCTTTTGTTGGAATTTGTTCTTGAATATCGAGCCTTATTGTCGACAAATATATTCAATATTTACTTTGGCAATTATCCGAGACACATTTGTTTCGACCTCGCCCTCGGCTCGTGTTAGCAAATATTGAAATCTAACTCATAGCCATATATCACTTATTAGATTTTATTAAAATATTTTTAAAAAATTATCTGAATAAATACCACATTTTTTTCTAAAAGTAAATGACATTTTAAAAATATATTTGAAGTCGTACCGTTTTTGTTGTGGATTACGGAATGAAATTCGGTCTCAAATGAATGACAAACGCAGGAATGAAATATAGCAAATTAATATATTGACGTAATAATACAATTGGTAATACGGTTAGTCGATCCAGAAATGCGGTTAGTAGCAATAATAATATATATACAGTCAGTGAAATTCAGTATCGAAGTATGACTTCCTTCTGAGTCTATGTGCTCGCAACTGTGACTCCTACAAAGCAGTTACCTCCCACTCTCACTCTCACTCTCTTACTGTATCACTGTATCACCCCCCGGGTATTCACCGGCAGCAGTACAAGTACACACTGGGCGAGTCCACTTGTATGAAAAGGGATGGACCCCATAACAGTTTTTTAGGAATTTACTATAAAGAAATAGCATCCAGTTCAGTGCTTACGTTTATTTACGTTGGTTAGATTTTGATATAAGTTTTAAACATATATATTTGATTCGAGAATATTTGTAGGTAAGTTTTCATTATGAGGGCGATGTAACATTCCAAGGAGTACGAATCTCCCTATGATCGATATGTCAATGCTATCAGCTTGAGGAGATGCTAACAAGCTGTAGCGCCGTCGAGATGTGTCAGAAAATAATACCACGGGACGTGAGTGAAGATTAATTGACGGAACTGTTCGGGCGCTTTTAATGGTTGTGCTAGGTTATGTGTCATGACGACCGAGAATTTGAACTTACTGACCTTATCCAAACTGATGTTCACGCCAGGTTTTAAGCTCTCTCCCAGAATCTTTGTCTTACGGCCTCATCACGTTAAAACACCGGTTCACTTACGATCACCGAAGATAAGCAACATCGGGCCTGACCAGTACCTAGATGGTTGATCGCGTGGGAATAACAGATAGTGTAAGCTTGAGTGTGCGGTAGTGAATTGGATAATGGCTCGAAAGTGGAAATCGGAGAGCGCAGTTCGAATTCCAGCAGGGTTCGTTACATTTAGTTACGCTCAAATATCCTTGGGAAAGCTATAAATTCATGTTGTATACTCTTCCTTGTTGGAAGTGGGTATTGGCTGACTGTCTTGAGGCCATCATAATAAAGTTGTCTTTCTCGCTTTTTTCTGTCAGCAAGCTGATCGCTAGTTGGATTGTTCGTAAATATCTTCAACAAAAAAAATTATAACTTACTACTTTATGAAACACTTCGACGTGTACATTTTTAACTGGCCATTGTGGATCGCTCTATCAAACCCCACTTACGGGCAGTTTCTACAAATAAATATAACACATCTACATTCTTCGACGTGTAATACATTACTAAATGAAATCACTTTCTATCTACCTAACATTTCCACATTCGACACAGCCAATGAAATTCGACATCCCTATTTTGTCTACTATATGACCTTAAAGGCCAGCCTCAGAAGTTTTGAGACAAAATGCACTTCCACTAAAAATAATAGTCTGAAACTATTCATTAACATTCAACTAACTTTCCGCCACCTACGGGTTAATTAGTATGACTGTAAATCATTATTATCTCGAAAACATTGTTACGACCTAAATTTATTTTAGGGCTTTAATTAAACTTCAAAAGAGTTGACAATCAAACAGAAACTGCACTCAGCATGATTGCTTCATGAAAAAAAAAATTGTCACTTTCAGTTTTTAAAATACAAAAATGTGCCTGGGCAGACGTCTGTAAAAGGAATTACCAAAACACCTTACAATGCAGATGTACTCGAATATGTACGGCAAGCCATAAATCGCAATTAATATTTCCATAAAAAGATGAAATCCTTTGAAGTTGTTCAAACTGTGACTTTTGACAGAGAGAAAAATGAAATAAAATTGTTGAACTCAATTTATTGCTATAATACTATTAAAGCGTAAACAAAACTTAATCTATAATTAAAGTGATGTTTAGCGAAATAGAAAGTTCCGCTTTCCGTAACCATTCCTATATATTTAGTGAATAATTTAAAATACACAATACAAATATAAACTAAGTATATATCCAAATCATAAAGATACATAAGGTAAGCAAAACAAAATAACTTCTCCTTTTTTAATTTCAGAGTTGTCATTATCCTTGACAGATAAACATAACAGAGGATTACGGCCAGTCATATTATTTTCATGAGTTTTGAATTAATGTTTATGCAAGCATCGGCTGGCAGAAGGCAAGATGGTCCAAACTACTCTGCAGGAGCAAGATGAGTCAATCATAAATAATAATTACAGAAAACAGAACATATCTGTGTAAAAACAAACGAGGAATATTTTTCCAGATAATGATAATATTGTTTTGGAAGGTTAATGTCAGGATTCTGTATTTGAACTATATATATATATATATATATATATATATATATATATATATATATATATATATATATGTGTGTGTGTGTGTGTGTCTGTTTGAGTCTCTGTGTGTATTTTAAATATATATATATATATATATATATATATATATATATACATACATTTATGTGTGTGTATTTGAATATATATATATATATATATATATATATATATATATATATATATATATATATATATATATATATATATACCATAAGATTCGTGAAAGTTCGCCGACATTCTCTTCTAGCACTGTCTTCAACATTCTGTCTCATAAAGCTACAGAGATACAGTAATTTATGAGAATATCCTGTTCCATGAAGGCTATTCTAAAGTATAGATACGCATGAGACGACTGAGTTAATACAAGCTCCTGTCTAGAGATATGCATAACCATTACTGAGATTATATATGGATTTATATAATACGCTGGCGTGTTGAAATATTGCATAACAGCAAGTCGTATTGAAGACATTAAGTGCATCGACTTATCACTAACTGACAGGACAGCGGGAACGACTAGGTAAGAAAACCGAGGACTAAACAGAATTGTGAAGGGGAGTGTCTGCAGTTAAAGAAAATATGAAATGAAAAAGACGTGTTGAAAGATATTTATATATCTGAGGTAAATATCGGTGTGCCTGACTACAAAATTTGAAACATGTTTCCGCTCGTAGTGAATGGTCAATATTATACCCAGATAAACTTCAGGATAATAAAGAGCAAAAACAAATGATTGATATAAATATATTTCTTTCATCTAGAATAAGGGGCTCTTCTGAATTTTAGGCCTCCAGTAGCAACTGAATGGTATGTCTCAGATAACAACACTGAGTGACTCGAACCATAAATACAAAGGAAACATAATATATATATATATATATATATATATATATATATATATATATATATATATATATATATATATATATATATGAAAATTTCTCCGATTTAACCAGTAGAGAAGACAATATTTATCAATAAAAATGACAAACTGGTAATTTTTCTTATTTTGCTTTGATAAAGTCCACATTGGACGAAACGCGTCAGCAATTACCAGTTTTCCTATTGTCATTTCTATTCATAAATATATATATATATATATATATACACAGAGAGAGGCACGTTGCAGTAGTGGATATGGGGATTGCTTGAAGTATCAGAGACCCGAGCTCGATTTACAGTCGAATGCTATACATTCAGTTACTTAATCCCCTTGTTCACTCACTATGTGTAAATAGCAGCACGGACTGAATTCTATAGCCTTGGATGGCAACTGATCTAGAAGAATGACAACTCTGTATTCAAAACCTGTGGATGGTCGTTGGGGACCTCGTGACACGAAGTGCACCATGTCCCTCTATTCGGTCCTTCAAAAAGTCTGGTTGGTTCTGCACAAAGCCTTCACCACTGTAATCATATTATATGTGCTGGTGCCTGGCTGTTTGTTCCTTGAAATGAGCCGCTTGACACTCATACGTCGAATACGACGGGAGAGAACAACCACATATATATATATATATATATATATATATATATATATATATATATATATATATATATATATATATATATATATGCACAAAATGGGTTGGACAAAATAATGGAAACACCTAGAAGATTAATATCATAATTTTGAAATTGCTGTAAAACCATCAAATATTTGTTATTTTTAAGTTTATTTGATTTATTATTAATTTCCCTTGTTTTTCTTTACTAAAATCGTTGTTTTTTCTACAGATATCATCAGAGAAAATTAAACTACATTCTTAATGGCAGATCTATCATCTTTAAAAGAGGCCAAATTGTTGATTCTCGTACGGCAGGGGCTAATGTAACAAAAACCGTTTAAATATCTGGTGTAGAAAAGAGTAGTGTCTCGAAATAATGACAGAATTTGAGAAAGAAGAGAAAATCTCCTCACTGAAGAAAAGCTCTGAAAGAAAGTGAAAGCTATCTGATAAGGACCATCGGACTCTTACGCGTGTTTTAGGAAGGATCACACGAATACAGCTCCGAAAATTAAAGCCGAACTTAATGACAATCACGAGCATCCAGTTTCCTAAAAAAAACTCTAAGAAAGGAGCCCAACAAAGCCGGAATTCTCGGAAAACGGTAATCAGGAAACCCTTCATTTCCTAAAGCAATAAAGGATTTAGAGTGGAGTAGAAGTCTACAGAAATTGTCTCTAGAACAGTGGAATAATATTACTTTACCTTATTTCCGACAACTGGTCGAGTATACGTGCGGAGAAAGCCCAAAGAAACACTGAATCCAGACTGTCTTCTTCCAACTGTTAAAAATGGAGGAGTTGCTGTGATGATCTGGGTGGCTATATCTTGGAAATCTGCCGGCCCAATGGATTCCCTTCATGGCAGGATCCAAATCAAGACTTTTCAAAAATTTTATCAGGCCACATTTATCTTATGTTCGCGCAATTGTGTCCGGAGGAAAACGAAATCTTTCAAGAATATAATGCACCATTTCACACAGCTAAAATTGTGTCTGAGAGGCACGAAGAAAATACTAGTAAAGTAGACAACCTTATCTGACCACCACAATCCCCAGATCTCAATATTTTTTTTTTGAAACATTATGGTGCATTTTAGAAAAACAAGTAAGGAGACGATATCCTCCAACATCATCACAGAAAGATATTTAGACTGATTTGGCAGAAGTATCAAGAATAATTCCTCTAGAAACTATTCAAATTTGCATAAGTTCATACTACGTAGAATTCAAACTGTAATTATTGCCAAAGACGGACCTACACCATATTAAAGTAAATTTGTTTGAAATTCCCAAGTGTTTCCATTATTTTGTGCAACCCTTGTATATATATATATTTATATATATATATATATATATATATATATATATATATATATATATATATATATATATATATTTTTTCCTCTACATATAATAAAGATTGTATGGTAAACATAATCAGTGATTAACAACAGTAGTTGATATTAATATACAACAACAATATATATATATATATATATATATATATATATATATATATATATATATATATATATATATATATATATAATGTTATGTGTTGGATAAAAGAATTGTTATTCCCGTAAATCTCAAATGCATTAGGATACATTCTTTTTTTCATTTGCTGTTATGCAGAGATCTTTCAACTTTTCACTTAAGGGAAGCACTTTATGGCTTCCCATTGGCATATGTGAAATGCCAGCACTTCTATTCTTCCTATGCAGCAGCTTTAATAAGCTGAACATATGTATAATTTATTTGTGCAGAAACCGCTGTTAAATGTAATATAGAAATCGAAACAGCGTATAAAAGTGAACCATGAATAAATCGTTTAGTGTCGCTTAGCAATAGTAAGGCGTTCTTTATAAATATTATTCTGAGGCGTGTATTTCCGTGTTGGAAAAGTTATTACAATTTAGCAGAAAGAATATGAGAATGCAGGTAAGATGTTAGTATTATTTTGAAAGAAATGAAATCACCTGCGGTTCAATGAAAATATAAACTTTTGTGTTTTGGTTTATTTTGTTTTACGGC